CAGATCAGAGAATCAAACAGTTAACACGCAAGAAAAGAAATGACAAAAAAAAATGCATAAAGCCATTGGTTCATAATGTCTCTGAACTCTCTCTAATGTCTCTCTGGTCTCTCTCTGGTCTCTCTCTCTGGTCTCTCTCTGGTCTCTCTCTCTGGTCTCTCTCTCTGGTCTCTCTCTCTCTCTAATGTCTCTCTTGTCTCTCTCTGGTCTCTCTCTGGTCTCTCTGATCGCTCTCTGGTCTCTCTCTGGTCTTTTTCTGTCTCTCTCTGGTCTCTGGTCTCTCTCTGATTGCTCTCTGGTCTCTCTCTGGTCTTTTTCTGTCTCTCTCTGGTCTCTCTCTGATTGCTCTCTGGTCTCTCTCTGGTCTGTCTGTTTTGACTCTCTCTCTGGTCTCTATTTCTGATCCCTCTCTCTGGTCTCTCTCTGATTGCTCTCTGGTCTCTCTCTGGTCTCTCTGTTTTGACTCTCTCTCTGGTCTCTATTTCTGATCCCTCTCTCTGGTCTCTCTCTGGACTCTCGTTCTGGTCTCTCTCTCTCTCTCTCAAACTCAGGCTCGCGGGCAAGACCATTTTTAGTGGCTCCCAAAGTGATTTTCAATTAGTTTTATTAACCTAAACTGTTTCATTCTCTGTTGTTTCTGTTGTTTGCGAATCCACAGCTTTGTAAAGTCCTCCAAGATAACTACTGTTGTGATTTGGGGCGAGACAAAAACAAATTGAATTATAAACAGTTGTTCCTTAAACACGGATCGCTTTTTCTGCTTTAAGTAAATAATAACATGGATTAATGGACCACATCTATCCATTAATTCCTCCAGTCTAATTGTGGCCTCATCAAAGTGCTTTATACACGGCTCATAAACGAGGACAACAACACGTTTGGAGACCGCCACCGTCAGAAGGATTAGACGGCGAATCATCAAAGTCCAGCTCGTAACACAAACCGGCAAATCCGTAATATATATCGCAGAAGGCGCCACAAAGCCACCGGCGGCGAGTGCAGAGTTAAAAACATATCACGGCGCCAGGATAATGCGCCGGTGTAATTGGAGAGAGAATGAAAGCAGATAGAGGAGGCTCAACCCACTGGAGCGTGTGTTTACCGAGCGGGCGCTGTCCGTGGTGCTGCTTCAGACTCGGATGGATTTGCAGTTCTCTGATCCTCGGCATTGATCTCTCTCCCCACAAACAGGGGAAGTGCTCATTGTTCTCTGTATTCCTGCACATCTGTGGGTTTGTAATAGGCGCGCTTTCATGTGACATCACAACGTTCCAAAGATTCTACGCTACTCTACTGAGTTTAGAGATAATGTTGCGGTAATTCCTGCAACAATTGACATGAAACAATAACGGCCCCAAAGTTCAATTCATTCTCTCTCTCTCTCTCTCTCTCTCTCTCTCTCTCTCTCTCTCTCTCTCTCTCTCTCTCTCTCTCTCTCTCTCTCTCTCTCTCTCTCTCTCTCTCTCTCTCTCTCTCTCTCTCTCTCTCTCTCTCTCTCTCTCTCTCTCTCTCTCTCTCTCTCTCTCTCTCTCTCTCTCTCTCTCTCTCTCTCTCTCTCTCTCTCTCTCTCTCTCTCTCTCTCTCTCTCTCTCTCTCTCTCTCTGGTGATCTGGAAAAACAAAGGAACATTTATTTTTCATTAATTTCCTAACTCACTTCTTTCCCATCAACTGTAGATTCTGAAACTCTGAGGCTCAGTGCTGAAAGTGAAGTATATTTGGTAAAATATGGTAAATTCCATTGTTTCCTCGTCTGAACTGGTCTGAAGGAGGCGGGCTTCTCTGTCGGAGCTGACAGTGTGATTGACAGCTCATGTCTTCACAATGAGACTCAGAACAACAGCAGAGCGACAGAGGATCTGTCTGCTCCTCTCTCTGACAGAAGATCTGTCCCTGAACAGATTTGTAAAAACTTAAATGTTGTGGATTGTGACGATGTCCTGTCAATCATGAGGCTGATGGGGACTTTGGTTCAAACACGTATGATTCTAGTTTGGCCCTTTCTGGCTCCTCTAGCAGCAGCGGTCTCTCCCTTGTCTCTCTCTCTCTGGTCTATCTCTGGTCTCTCTCACTGGTCTCCCTCTTGTCTCTCTCTCGTCTCTCTCCTTTCTCCTATGTCATTTGTCCTATCTCCTCTCGTCTCCTCTCACCTTTCTCCACTCTTGACCTTTTCAGACTCGTCTCATTTGCTGACAGCACAGGTCGTTTAAACCAAAACTAAGACGTCAATATTCCCTCTGGAGACTGGAAACAGGAAACAGGAAACATGCAGTTGATAAATGTGTTTTTTTTATTACGTCATACTCTGATGATCAGGGTGTGAAGACCTGAAGCTTCAGGGGAGCCCAGTCTGAAGCAGAAGCCCTGAGGAGGTGAAGACCTGAGGAGCTCCTGTGGACTGAACACCTGCAGGGCCCTTTGAGGATCAGTGTGACAGCCCGGTGTCAGGGTGGTCTTCGTATTAAAGTGTCTGTAGTGAAGGCTTAATGAGGGAATGATGTTGTGGTTAAAAGTCCAAACACGTTTATAGTTTTGTTGCTTCCTGCTTCGTTATAAAACCAGGACTAATGTGTTTACACAACCGCCCTGGATATTGACAACCACCATTTTATCTGCAGCGTTTTTGGTTAAAAGCAGCTGCGCTGATTCAGACCCACTCCTCATTTTGAGACGCACTCACGGCCGCAGCTCTCCATCGCGCGTGCATGTGTGTTTTAACCAGGCTTTCAGCTCCTACTCAACTTGAACACGTCAATATTTTCCTCCGTACAGTGACGTCTTAATGCGCAATCAAAGAAATGCATCTTTTCAAAGTCTGTCCGCCGCCAGAGCGGCAGAGCGGCCCGCGGCACATTACCCACAGGGCTCTGCGCTCTGCCGCGCTGCGTAATGTCTTAATGTACGGGAGGAGCGCATGGCAGCGGCGGACGCGCTCCTTTGGGGCCAAACATTGCGGTGAATAGAGCGGCCAGAGTGGGCCGTGCGCCCGTCCTCTGCTGCATTAAGGAAGATTCTTTAGAAAAGCTGCATCTCAGAAGCTTTTGTTCGAACTCATTTCAGAATCTCAGGCTCCGCGTAAATGGAGCAGGCGCGGACCTGATGGAAGCGGCTGTGGGAGAAAGGAGGAATCCAAGGGTGAAGCTGCGATGGGACAAAAGCAACGGGAGAGACGGGTGAAAGAGACGGAGATGGGGAGAGGGGGGAGAGCCAAAAGGAGGAGAGGTCTTTAGGAGGAAGCCAGGCAGCACTAAGAAGCAGTGTGGATACCCAGTCAGGCCTGGCCTCCCCCCGCGGACACTGTACCCCCCACCCCCACCCCCACCTCTCCATCTCCATCCAACTAGAAACTATAAACCTGGAGCCTTTGGCCGAGAAAGTGTTTATAAGAAGTTTCTCTGAAGCTGAAACTTCAGTGTCAAGGACAGATTCAAGTCTGTGGTTCAAGAAGAAGAACTTCACAGGACCTGGGCCTCAGTCAGGGGCCTCTGTAGGTCACAGGGTCCAGGGGCCTCTGCCTATAGCCTAAAATAGTCACAGTGTCATGCAGCCAACTTCAGCTCCAGGACAGTCCTGCTGTAACTGGAACCTGGATTTAATTTGTTTTACAGATCTGTAAAAAAAAAACACCAAGGAAACAAGGAACACACAGACAGAAAGACACACAAACACAAACACACACACACACCCACACACACATAGATTTTTATTATTTAAACAGATTTATTTTGTTTATTTATTTAACACTCCATGTTTATGTCACTAATGTTCTGCACTCTGCATGTATGTCATTATTGTTAATAGTTTTACTTCTAAATGTTTAATTTTGGCAGAGGGGAAAAGTGGGGTGCGAAGGGTATTATTTATTTATTCATTTTTATTATTATTATCATTTTCTTTTGTTCTTCTCTTATCCTGAATAGTCTATAAATTATGAATGTTTGTGTTTGTGTTTAGGACCCCCTTGAAAATGAGATGATTCCTCTGAAAGGGCTGTCTTAACTTAACTCAAACATAAACTGAACATACAAAGAGACACACACACGCAGTACACACACATAGACACACAGTACACACACACACACACACACACTCACACACACACAGTACACACACACACACACACAGAGCCTGGGGACTAATTGTTGGATGGAGCAGGTTTTCTAGTTCACTTGATGTAATTGTGAAGAGACGACAGGACGTCAAGCCGAGACACACATGACCAGAGGCAACGATTAGAGTGTGTGTGTGTGTGTATGTGTGTGTGCGTCTTGTGTGTGTCAGTGTGTTTATGTGTGTATAGTAGAGTACAGTTGGGGTAAAAGGTGCTATACTTAACTCTAATGTCTCTTATATGTTTACAACCCATTCTTGCCGTTCGGCAGTGCACAACATTAAAGATACATGATTAAAGCTGGGGTACGTAACTTCAAATATGGCGCCTGTAACTTCCAGACCAATAGAACCAATAAACTATCTCGTCCCTGGCTCTAACGCAGGAGTCAAACAGTGACTCACAGGGCTCTGTTTTATGTATCAGGAAACTCCCTTAATGTTCACAAGTCAAAATATCCCCTGATCGCTGAGTTCCTTATTCTGAGAGAGAAACACTTTACATCTGTGACGCTCACCAGAAAAACATCTGAATTTTATGGATTCGAAGAAAAGTGGATTAGGAGATAAACTAGAACTATTCACAACATAACTGAAGACCAGGATTAAACCAGGTCTAAACCATGACTAAAACCGGTCTAAAGCAGGTCTAAAGCAGGTCTGGTCTAAAACGGGTCTAAAACAGGTCTAAAGCAGGTCTAAAGCTGGTCTAAAGAAGGACTAAAGTAGGTCTAAAGCAGGAATAAAGCAGGTCTAAAGCATGACTTGAGCGGATCTAAAGCAGGACTAAAGCAGGTCTAAAGCAGGACTAAACCAGGACTAAACCAGGCCTAAAGCAGGATGAGATCAGGACACACACACAGCTGTGCACCCTCGACTTACCTCTTGGTGATGTCACGCTGCATTTATGACTGGGCCCGGATGCTGGCGTCTGATTGGCCGTCGCTGCTCATCTTCCGTAACCACAGCGATACGTGCGTCAGACTTTCTCCTCAGTGAACATGTTTCCAGAGAGTGTGAAGCAAGTTCCAAAAGACCCTCTCAGATCGAGCTCCGAACCAACATCCTGCAGGTCTAGTATCTGCCTTGTGGTTCAGACAGTTACAGACTGATTGTTTAGCATCCGTTAGCATCTCTGCTTCTCCATTAGCATCTCAGCTTCTCTGTTAGCATCCCAGCTTCTCCATTAGCATCTCAGCTTCTCTGTTAGAATCCCAGCTTCTCCATTAGCATCTCAGCTTCTCTGTTAGCATCTCAGCTTCTCTGTTAGCATCCCAGCTTCTCCATTAGCATCTCAGCTTCTCTGTTAGCATCCAGCTTCTCCGTTAGCATCCCAGCTTCTCCATTAGCATCCCAGCTTCTCTGTTAGCATCTCAGCTTCTCCGTTAGCATTCCAGCTTCTCCATTAGCATCCCAAGCTTCTCTGTTAGCATCTCAGCTTCTCTGTTAGCATTCCAGCTTCTCCGTTAGCATCCCAGCTTCTCCATTAGCATCTCAGCTTCTCCATTAGCATCTCAGCTTCTCCGTTAGCATCTCAGCTTCTCCGTTAGCCTCTTAGCTTTTCCGTTAGCATCTCAGCTTCTCCGTTAGCCTCTTAGCTTTTCCGTTAGCATCTCAGCTTCTCCGTTAGCATCTCAGCTTCTCTGTTAACCTGAGTCCCAAGCTTCGACCCTGAGCTTTCTCTCAGTCCTCCTACCTTCTCCTTCTCCTCAGTCCTCAGTCTTCCTTCTCCTCATTCCTCAATCTTTCTTCCTTCTCCTTCCCCTCAGTCCTCTGTATTCCTTCTTTCTCTGCAGCCTCAGTCCTCCTGCCTTCTCCTCAGTCCTCCTGCCTTCTCCTTCTCCTCCGTCCTACTGCCTTCTCCTCAGTCCTCCTGCCTTCTCCTTCTCCTCCGTCCTACTGCCTTCTCCTCAGTCCTCCTTCCTTCTCCTTCTCCTCCGTCCTACTGCCTTCTCCTCAGTCCTCCTGCCTTCTCCTTCTCCTCCGTCCTACTGCCTTCTCCTCAGTCCTCCTGCCTTCTCCTTCTCCTCCGTCCTACTGCCTTCTCCTCAGTCCTCCTGCCTTCTCCTTCTCCTCAGTCCTCCTGCCTTCTCCTTCTCCTCCGTCCTACTGCCTTCTCCTCAGTCCTCCTGCCTTCTCCTTCTCCTCAGTCCTCCTGCCTTCTCCTTCTCCTCAGTCCTACTGCCTTCTCCTCAGTCCTCCTGCCTTCTCCTTCTCCTCAGTCCTCCTGCCTTCTCCTTCTCCTCAGTCCTACTGCCTTCTCCTCAGTCCTACTGCCTTCTCCTCAGTCCTCCTTCCTTCTCCGCAGCCTCAGTCGTCTGATCGAGAGGAGAGCCGCTCCGAGTGCTCTGGGCTGGAGACGTTTTGTCCGAGCCCTAGGTCTCTTTCACTGAGGCAAGATTAGTTCATACAAAAACTCAACAATACGCCACTGAAAGCCATTGTTGATATTCAACATTTTTCACATAGCGGAGCAGAATAGACAATGGCGGCTGGCGGGAAAGCCCGAAGCGGAGTGGGCGCAGGGCTGAGGATGATGCTATCGGAAACACGGGAGAAAGGCTCTAATCCCGCTGCCGCACACAAGCAGGATACAGCAGAATCAATAGCTCTTTTCATGTGAGATGGTGGGAGGTGATAGAGGAGACAAGACACAGAGAGGCACTCGCTGTTCCTCTGCACGAGTCACAGTGTCCTCGGAGGTTTTCTCACTTTTCTACATTTACTAAAGAGTTGACTTCAAATTCGGCGTGTTTGAAATGGGAATCTGTGTGGGTTTAATGTCTGAGGCAGTGACCACAGACTCACTGAAGCCCAAAGGGGAGAAGATGACAACTGTCCCTGCTCAAATAAACCAGGATCTTATCAAAACAAAAGGCTTCCTAAGGATGAGGAACCTAACTTTATGTTTTCATTAATAATGCATGTAGACCAGAGAGACTAAAGAGAGACCAGAGAAAGAGAGGGGGCAGAGTAAGAGACTAGAGAGATGGCCCAGAGTGAGACCAGAGTGAGACCAGAGAGATGGCCCAGAGTGAGACCAGAGTGAGACCAGAGAGAGAGACCAGAGAAAGAGACTGGAGAGAGAGACTAGAGAGAGACCAGAGAGAGGCCAAAGAGAGAGAGGGGCGAGAGTGAGAGACTGGAGAGAGAGACTAGAGAGAGACCAGAGAGAGGCCAAAGAGAGAGAGGGGCGAGAGTGAGAGACTGGAGAGAGACTAGAGAAAGAGACTTGAGAGAGAGACTAGAGAGAGAGACCAGAGAGAGACCAGAGAGAGACCAGAGAGAGACCAGAGAGAGACCAGAGAGAGACCAGAGAGAGACCAGAGAGAGGCCAGAGAGAGAGACCAGAGAGAGACAAGAGAGAGACCAGAGAGATAGACTAAAAAGGCCAGAGAGAGAGAGACCAGAGAGAGAGACTCGAGAGAGAGACCAGAGAGAGAGACCAGAGAGAGAGACTATAGAACGAGACATTTTCTCTCCGGCTCATATTGACTTCCATATTGACTCGCTCTGTGATTCTGGTGTTTATATTTGATTTTGTCTTTGTAAATCCAGATATGAGTCATATAAGGATCGACCAATCAGAAGCCTTCATTTGAGAAAGTCTGAGCAACACAATAATACAGACAATGTTAATGGATCTACAGCTTCAGTCCTTCATGTTTCATATTAATAAAAATAATCATAATAAATCAGATTTATAAAGCGCTTTTCAGGACTCTCAAACAGAAGCTTCATATTTTATTATTCATTCACTCCTAACACGGCGGTGATAAACTACAACTGTAGCCACAGCTGCCCTGGGGCACACCGACAAAAGCGAGGCAACCCGTCTGTGCCCTCGGCCCCTCCCACCACCACCAAACGTTCACACACACACCAGACTCATTTGAATGGGGGTGAAGTGTCTTGCCTAAGTACACGACAACAGTTTGGCACTTTACAGCCGCAGCCGCCCCACTGTGGCACCTGTGTTCCCAGAGGTCTCCCATCACAGCACTAACCAGGCCCTGTAACCCACCCACCACTGTAACCTCACCCCTTCTTCCTCACCCCTCCCTATTCTACCAATAACTAATAACCGGGGTGACTGTTGTTCCTCACCCCTCCCTGTGCCCTCACCCCTTCTCCCTCACCCCCCTTTTAGTAACCTCACCCCTTCTCCCTCACCCTCCCTGTTCTAACCATAATAGATGTTTTATTGAGGGCTCCCAAACGTCCGCTCCCCTCAGAACATAATTGCTGCAGTCATTTTGTCTGCTCCGTGTTAAAATAATTCGTTCAGTCGTTGAGGCTGAGTGACGAGGGGCGCGCGGCGATTGGACACGACACTCAGGCCCCGGCGTCTTGTTAAATAAACTGTGACAGAACCTTCGATTAGCGACGCGGCTTAACGTGATGAAGAACGTGTCATGTCAGCGTCATAAATCACACGCGGCTAACGAGGCTAGCGCTCCTCACACAACAGCAGCGAGCGTGTGGGCTAACAGTGCGCGCCCTGTCACCAGAGACATGCTAATTGTGCGCTAATGATGTGTAATGAATGTGATCAGAGCGCGGCTCCAGCTAACCAGCTAAATGAACTGGCACTAATGGTTCTGTTAGCTTATCGTAGCGCTAACGGTGGCTATAGCATAATAAAGGGTTTGACGCGCGCTGCATGGGACCCCAGCGGAAGAGAGGAGAGGACGTGGGATGTGAAGGCCCCCTTTTGATGTGGTTTAGGTTATTTGTATAGCACAGGTCATACACAAGTCCTGAACAAACCAAGAAAATAAACAGTGCTTTAAAAATACTGAAGATACAAACCTTCAGTTGTATGCATTTCTAAACAGAAGAAAATTGTTAGAGAAAAGCCTGTCTCTCATTTTCAGGAAGCTGCATAAATCTGAAAGCCTGTCACCTCATGTTTAGTCCTGACTCTGGGACCAGCAGGAGTCCAGTCCCTGTGCTCCTCAGGTTTGTGTTAGTAATTACCACCAGGACATGTTATACATTTAGTTCTAATGAATTCATTCATGAATTAATGAAACAAAAGGTTATTTGTCAACAAATACAAATAAAACATGTTCGTCAAATTAATATGTAATAAATTAAAATAAACCATGTGAAAACAGCTCTGGCCCTCAGTCATGGATACAGCCACAGTCCTGGATCTATAGCCTCAGTCTCTCACTTTCAATTTCAGTTTCAGTTTAGTTTATTTCAAAGGGGACAATGCAATTTAATAAAACACACGATTCAACATTAGTTTATAAAAAGCCAGAATTAGCCAAGGAGGCTTAAAAATACATAAAACTACATTAACATAACAAAAGTACAAGACAGAGACAACATCAATCAAGACATTAGTGTTAACACTTAAGACAACATTCATTAAATAATACACTATTTAAAAGAATAATAGTACATCAGTTAATGAGGGCAGGTGTATGTCCATTCCTTCAGGTGCTGTGTAAAAGCCCTGTATGTGCTCTGCTGTTTAACAGTCTGTGGTAGTGTGACAACCTCTCACCTTGTTTCATCCATGATGTTGGTGCAGTGAACGTTTCTCTCCTGCTGTTATGCACAGCTTCAACCACCGTTCACCTGAGGAGACAAAAATATTTGCTCAGTCCACTTCATATTGACAAACGAGGTATGGTTATCTAAGAAAGAGCACATCACCCCTGTAGGCCTCAGTTCACTGGCTCCTTGTCACACTCAGGGTTGCTTTTGAGATTCTGACGCTTGTTTTAAAAATTTTTAAATGGTTTAGACAAGGTTTGAACAAGATGGCATGGTTTGAACAAGATGGTTTGAACAAGATGGTTTGAACAAGATGGTTTGAACAAGATGGCGCCTCTTGTATATCTGACAGAGCTGTTATTTCTCTCTGTCTGGTCTTTCTCTGGTCTGTCTCTGGTCCCTCTCTGGTCTCTGTTTTGACTTTCTCTGGTCTCTATCTAGGCTCTGGTCTCCCACTGGTCTCAATCTGGTCTCTCTCTGGTCTCTCTCTGGTCTCCCACTGGTGTCTCCCACTGGTGTCTCTCTGGTGTCTCTCTGGTGTCTCTCTGGTCTCTCTCTGGTGTCTCTTCTGGTCCCTCTTTGAGATGACTAACTTTAATGTGTTATTTTTACACCTGTCATAAACCAGGGAACAGTGACCTACACTCCATAATCTAAAACACAACGAGGATTAAAAAAATAAATATCAGATGCTTTCTTTTAAAAATCATTGTTTTATCATGAACCGATCTGTAGAACATGTGACATCACTGAACAGGAAGCAGATGTGCTTAGAGCTCACTCAGAGACAAAAACGTCTGTTAAAAAAGCAAAATTGAGCTCCACAACGTCATGTAACTATGGCAACAGAAGGAGCAGATTCATTTGTATAGTGTATATGTATAAAAAGCAATGGTTATTCACTCCATTCACAGTGGGGGACAACTATAACTGTAACCACATCTGCCCAGGGGCAAACTGACAGAAATCAGGCTGCCATTGGCCAATCACATCAGTCCATGTTTACTGCAGGAAACACTCTCTCTGTTCTGAATCTTGGACCAATCATGAGATTCTAAACATACAGCAGTGACATACAGATGTACTCACTAAACACCAGGGATGAGTGATGTCACATATGGTCTGTGACAGAGACCTGGTCCCTGATTCCAAGTCTGATCCAGACCCGGGTTTTTCCAGAGCCACAGTGAAAGTCCAGCAGCAGAATCAAAGAGGAACTCTGTCTGTAGCACCACAGACTGAGACTCAGCTCTAGGTCCAGTGCTATCTAGGTGTAGCTCTAGGTCCATGCCCAGGTCCAGGTCCCACTAGGAGACAGTCATGTGACAGTGTTTTGGCACACACAGACACACACACACACAAACACAGACATAGACACACACACACACACACACACACACACAGACAAACACAGACATAGACATACAGACACATACAAACACAGACATAGACACACACACACACACACACACACACACAGACAAACACAGACATAGACACACACACACACAGACAGACAAACACAGACATAGACACACAGGCACACACACACATACAAACACAGACATACACACACACACACACACACACACACACACACAGAAAAACATAGACATAGACACACAGGCACACACACACATACAAACACAGACATAGACACACACACACACACACACACACACACACAGACAAACACAGACATAGACACACAGACACACAGACACGCATACACAGACACACAAACGCTCACATACACACACACACACATATACGTCTCTCTGGACTCGGCTCTAATTGTTCATTCATGGTGTGAAGATAATGGCGCTCTCCTGTTAGCCGCGGTGGCTAAATGAGCGCTGTTTCCGTGGTAACGCCGCACAATGAGGGTGATTAGTCCGGAGTCTTTAGTCCCTGGACGAGGACACGACGTTCACTTCATCTGAGAGAGGATCGATGCTGCAGCAGTCCAGCTCCAGAGGACTGGGCGCAGAATCTTGTGTGGAATCTGAGCTGCAGGTTTTGGACTTTGGACCTCTGATATATCTGTGATGCCTGGACTGAATATTATTATCCACAAGTGTCCACCACCCCTCTGTCTGATGCCTCATGCTGCTTACATGCACACATGTACACATAAAACTATATATTTATTGCACTAGAACAGGCATAACAAACTCAGGCCCTCTGATTTTCAACGATCTTTCTTTCAGTAACTTGCAGCATTGATGGTAATGGGATACTATGGCATGTTATTCTAAAATCTTATTACAATCGTAACTAATTAGAAGGTAAGTTTGGCCCAAGATATAATTCTTGTAGTTAACTTTTTGTCTTCAATTACATCTCTTCTGGATGTTTTGCCCAGTTGTGAAAAAGCTCCCATGTTCTAATTTTGGATAATTTAGACAAAATTGAGTTTGACACCCCGGCACTAGAATATACAGTATTTTATACTGACTTCTTTAATATTCTAAAGTCAAAGATTTTGTATGTAGTGAAGTTGTAGATCTTAAAATGTCTTCCTTATTATGCTAATGCTAGAGATTTTATTTTTATTTATTTTTAGTTATGTTCATTTATCTTATGCTGTGTGCTCCTCATTCCAACTGTTCTGAAACTGGCGATGTAACACTGACATTTCCCCACTGTGGGACGAATACAGGATCTCTACACACACACACATCTGTATGTGTGTGTGTGTGTGTGTGTGTGACAGTAGCTTGTTGCAGGTGTGTACTGCTGGACTCAAAAGGGCCCCTATAGAGAGACCATAGCCTCACTGCGGGGGACCGTCCTGCCCACTTCCTGTGACCCGAGGCTGAGATCCTCCCCCAGCGGGACCCAAACCAAACACTGGCACACAGCAGTAATCACCCTCATCACCCGCATCACCTGCCCCTCCACTGACCCCGCGGAGCCTGTTACAGCCTCAGTCCTGGATCTACAGCCTCAGTCCTGGATCTAAAGCCTCAGTCCTGGATCTAAAGCCTTACCAGAGGCCCTGATCTCGGGAAATCAGGCGAGAACTATGGACTTTATGGGCGTCTTCTTGCTTACGTCACTCTGAGCACACAAGTGAGTTAGCTTGTGAAGACTCTCGGACAGAAGACCTGCTGTGGTCATGACCAGTGCATCTGGGTTAATCTCATGTTGAAAGTGGGTCACACAGAGAAAGAGAAACCCCTGTCATCACAATCGCACACAATGGCGTAATTAAAGTCTGTTTCCTGGATTTGTTGATAAGCCGAAAATAAACCACTTTTGGGATCTGTTTAATAATCACCTCTTATTTGAATTACAATAGACAGAAGGTTCTGGGTTCGATGCCGCGTCAGCCTCCGGTTCAGGTCTCACATGGAAACTCTGAGATCCGGCTTCACTTTTATTGCTGCACCAAAGACAGTTTTCTTGTTGGTTCTATGACTGTGTGATTTGGTGACATCATAGTCCAAGATTGAAGACCAGAGAGCGACTAAAGAGAGACCAGAGAGAGACCAGAGAGAGACTAAAGAGAGACCAGAGAGAAACCAGAGAGAGACCAGAGAGAAAGCAGAGAGAGACCAGAGAGAGACTAAAGAGAGACCCGAGAGAGACTAAAGAGAGAGACTAAAGAGAGACCAGAGAGAAACCAGAGAGAGACCAGAGAGAAAGCAGAGAGAGACCAGAGAGAGACTAAAGAGAGACCCGAGAGAGACTAAAGAGAGACCAGCGAGAAAGCAGAGAGCGACCAGAGAGAGACTAAAGAGAGACCCGAGAGAGACTAAAGAGAGAGACTAAAGAGAGACCAGAGAGAGACTAAAGAGAAACCAGAGAGAGACTAAAGAGAGACCCGAGAGAGACTAAAGAGAGAGACTAAAGAGAAACCAGAGAGAGACTAAAGAGAGACCAGAGAGAAACCAGAGAGAGACTAAAGCGAGACCAGAGAGAAACCAGAGAGAGACTAAAGCGAGACCAGAGAGAAACCAGAGAGAGACCAGAGAGAGGTGCTCCGCTCTGGAAGAGGACTGTCAGCTGTCTGTTCTGGAGGTTTTTTATGAATCCAGACTCTTAAATCCATGTCTTAAAATAATCAACGACTCTTCTGGCCCGTGGAAAAAGCCATGTTCCAGCTTCTTCCCTCTGGCAGAAGATATCGTTGGCTAGATATGCAGGACATCTGGACATGCGAACAGCTTCTTTCAGCTGTTTTTGTTGATTGGATTCACATCGATGATTGTTTCTTGTACATTTTTAGTTAGTTTTATATATTTGTATCTGGTGCACACTGGGGACTTTGACACATGTATTCCAATGTTGTTTTACTGCGAGTGGCAAATAAACTGAATCGGAATCTCTACATGTTCCACAGACAGGCCTTTAAAACAAACACTTTACCATACGTTAAATTTGATTAATTTTCTAAGGTAAAATTAGGTTGTTTACAATCACAAATCTGTTTTTGCAGTTGGTATATTTCAGATTCGGAAATAAAAACCATAGAGGGACACTGACCCCTGAGACTTACCATGAACTTGTTTCCTTATATTCTACTGGAGACATCATTTCACTTTCTCATTATCTTCTTTTAATAACCTTCTTCTTCTTCCTTAAATCCACTCCAGGTAAATGTGTCGTCAGTGAACAATGTCTCTTTAAATAGTTTGTTTAAACAGTTTGTATTGACTTTAATGTAATCGAATGTTGTTGAATAATCATTGATTGACTGCACCACCTGCTGCGGCTCCGACATTACATTGAGAGAGCGAACAGTTCTCAGACTCTGCACTCATCTAACCACATCACCTCTTCCTCCTGTGAGCAGATTCAGATTCGGATCCAGGGTTTTTTTTGCCATTTGCAGAAACCACTTGGAAAACATGTGCAAAAGTCCCCAGTGTGCACCAGACAAGTACATCTCAGCCAACGATATCTTCTGCCAGAGGGAAGAAGCTGGAACATGGCTTTTCCAGGGGCCAGAAGAGTCATTAATTGTTAATTGGCCAAACCTGCAGGTGAAAGCCAGATCCAGTCAGACCTCTGAAGCTAAGCAGGGCAGAGTTTGGATAGTACTGTGATGGGAAAACTCTGGGAACAGCAGGTGCCACAGTGGGTCGACTCATTAAGAATCCAAAAAAGTCAGCTCTCTGTCTCTCTCTGCTCTTTCTGGTCTTCTTCTGGTCTCTCACTGTTCTCTCTCTCTCTCTATCTGGTCTCTCTTTCTGTTCTCCCATTGGTCTCTCTCTCTGGTCTCTCTCTGGTCTATCTTTGGTCTTTCTTTAAATTTCACTCAGACTCCTCTAACCACATCACCTCTTTCACTTTTTCGGCACAGAATCAACAAAAAACTGCTTCCTTCGTCTTCTTCTTCGTCTTCTTCTCCTTCTTCTTGTGCAGCTCGATGTATTGATCCGCTTGGATGAGGATCGATGTTGGTCCCAGCGGGAGGCCGCAGAGCGCGGGGCTGTTCCCTTTGTCTCGCCTGTCACCCCTGAAGGTTATCTCCGCGGTGGCAGAGACGTCGCCACTGACAGCCGTATCCCACGATGCCGAGCAACTCATCAAACTGTCCCTGCGCGCCGCCGTTCCCTTGACGACGCCAAAGAAAGCCCTCGTTTTGTTGCCTATTTTTTTTCTCTTTTCAGAAGGAGGTGGAGGAGGAGGCTGCCCGGGCTTCGATAAGCTATCACATGTCCCAGGTGACAAATCAAGCGCACCCAGACTGCGACAACCTGGCAACGCGAGGCCAAACAAACCCAAAGAATCAACAATGACACATATATATTCAACATGCGTCAGTTTGAGTGTTCCAGACAGGACGGAGCACGATAAGGCGCAATGTGGAGGATGTGGTTCCGAGTTCAGGCTCAGAGGCTGCGGGCTCAATGGCAGACAGAGAAAACACATTTTCAGCTGGGAATTTCACACAAAAATCTAGCGTTTATCAAAGTCTAGCAGGAGTTTGTTGAGAAGACTGGACAAAAACTGTCTTTTAAAAATATCTTTTCTCTTGAGGCCAAATCCACAGTCCATGAAACGGTTTTGATAAACAATACGACACAGAAGCAGCCAGGTTCTCCAGATGTTGTTAAAAGTCATTAGAGACAAGGCTAGTTTACTTGTATAGCACAGCTCATACACAAGGCAACTCAAACTGCTGAACAAAACAAGATAGAGACACTCATACAAAAATAATCCCAGTACATTAAAAAGAGTAAATACACAATCCATCAGTTGTTGTAGAAACAGAACTGTTTTTAACCTGGATTGGAACATTGTCAAAGAAGAAGCCTGTCTCACATTTTCAGGAAGACTGTTCCAGATTTTAGCTGTATAAATATGAAATGCTGCCTCCTCTTGTTTAGTCCTGACTCTGGGCCCAGCAGGAGTCCAGTCCCTGTGCTCCTCAGAGTTGGTTTATATGGCACTAACATGTCACAGATGTATTTTGGTGCAAGGCCATGGAGAGACTTGTAACAAACAGAGCTCATTTAAAGTCTATTTTCTGAACCACAGGAAGCAGAGACCTGAGACCAGGACTAATTTGATGGTACTTCCAAACAAACAAGTCTGCTTTAGACACTGTATTTTTGATTCTGGAAATGTCTTTAGAAAGACAAAAACATGATATTGAGGGACAACATGCCATGGCTGCCATTTTGATAGATTCTGATCAAAGCTGCAAGTGTATCATAAAAACTGAAAAACAAGGCCTTGTGCTTGATCAATAACTGGAAACATCAAAATATGTAAGGGACAAACAGAAACAGAAGTACTTGCACAGCATATCTGATCCTCCTTTCACTGCGCGTCCATGGCAACGCTGTTTGACAGGCCATTACCACGGCGACGATGGGTTGACGTGCAGGTAATGGCGGTGACACGTCTCGGGGAAACACTCGATTATGGGATGTGTGACGGGAATAGGCCGATGTCATGTGGCGTCCACAGAGCTCTGTCTGCAGTAATAGAACAAGACAGAGTCTCAGGGCATCAGCGCGCACCGCTAATGCAAGGCTAAGGCAAGGCTAATGCTACTAGGCTAATTCTTGACTTATGCAAGGCTAATGCTGGGCAAATGCTAATCTAATGTGCGGGTTACAATGCAGTAAAGGGAATAAGAGAGTGGGTCAGTGCGGCTGGATACTGTCCAATTGTTGGCACTTGGCACTCTGGCCGCATATTTAGCTCCACAAAATGTAGGACAAACAGATTTAAGAACTCCATTATCCCTCTTGCCATTGGTATTTTAAACAGATCACTGTAATTCTGCTGGATATCTTTGTTTCCTTGTGTATATGTGTACCTTTTTGCTGCTGCAACCAAATTGCCCCGTGGGAATAATAAAGATACCTTGAACCTTGAACCTTTTTTAACTCTGCTTTCAATAGAATGACTCACATACAACCCTGCATACAGACAGACAATGCAAACCCGACAAAGTTTTGCTCCAACTCGTTCTGGCTCCAGGTCTCTGTCCTGAAGTCCTGTCATATTAGTCCTGGTCTCAGGTCTCTGCTTCCTGTGGCTCAGAAAGAAGACTTTAAAGCAGCTCTGTTTGTTACAAGTCTCTCCATGGCCTTGCACCAAAATACATCTGCGACATGTTAGTGCCATATGAACCAACTCTGAGGAGCACAGGGACTGGACTCCTGCTGTTAACAGCGTCAGGACTAAACATGAGGCAGCATTTCAGATTCACGCGGCAAACAGTCTTCCTGAAAATTTAAGACAGGCTTATTCTCTGAGAATGTTTAAATCCAGGTTAAAATAGTTCTGTTTCTGCAACAACTGAAAGATTATATATTTTTAATGCACAGTGATTGTTTATGATTTTAATGTTTATTTTCTGTTTTTGTTTAGCAGTTTCAGGTGCCTTATGTTTGAACGGTGCTATAAAAATAAACCTGCCTTTCCTAAATTAACTGAGAGCCCTATGTGTATAATAATAGAGAGTCCACCTGAGCTACAACATAGCGGCTCAACGCATCAAAACCACTTGTTTGTATTTCTCACTTCAGCTGTGAAAGTGATCAATGTTCTGGGCGGGACACAAACAGCTGATATGAGAGGGGGCGGAGCCTGAAGACAACCCCGTGTCCAAATATGGGCGCGCGTAATTGATTGCACAATGTTTTATTTCCTGTGAGTTTTATGGTCTCCGGCTCGGCTCCGTCTGCTCCTCTCCACCGCTCCGCTGATCCCTGTTTGTTCTGCTAATTAACTTTATTACCCTGATAGCTCCCTACTGCCTACTGACGAAAACAATTAGCCATACCCACCCACCCTCTCTCTTTTATCTACCCCACAGTGTTGTCAGCCTGCTCTCCCACCACAGAGAAGGAAGAAAAATGTGCAGCTGATTTATGAAAAGCCGAGAGCTTCTCTGCTCTGTGTCAAACAGACGAGCTTTTACCCCTCGGGCTCCCAGGATGAGGCCACTCGTTGGGGCCTCAATCCTGCCTGAGTCCTGCGTCGCGTAGCCATGGTCCTTGTTCTACAGCCTCAGTCCTGGATCTACAGCCTCAGTTCTCATGCCTCACTCCATGGGAGCAGATTTCTCCCTGAATGTAGGTCTCCCTGAAGTTTTCTAGTTTTTCTCCCACTGGGTTATTAAGAGTGTTTCTTTGCTGGTGCAGGAAAGTCTAAGGACAGTGAGGACAATCCAGGGCCTTCGACATTCAACATTTAAACTAAAAATAGTAATGCATTGTTTTTTTATAGTGCTTTTCAGGATCCCCATAGATGCTTCACATGTCATTACTGCTGCTATACAGTAGCCACAGCTGCCCTGGGGCACACTGACAGAAATAATGTTTATCAAAGTTTATCATTTGCCGGAGCGACATTGGCGCAGTTCATTGGCCTTTGGGCCCATCATGAGACCAAATCCCACTGATGTCTGCTGTTGTTGTGTTCTTGAGCAAGACACTTAACCCCACTTTGCCTGAAGCCCCACTCTAAGGCCGTCACAGAGAGAGCATCTGACGGCAGTCAGCTAAGGGGAAGAAAATGTATGGATGGTCATCTCTGAATGGTTTGATTTTCTGGTCTGTGTTGGCAAATTCAACGACAGTTTTGTAAAGTCCTCCGAGATAACTACTGTTGTGATTTAGGGCAATAGAAAAAATAAATTGAATTGAATTAAATAGAACTCTTTGGTTGTGGACACAGGACTCGAGCTGCTCCTCCACAGACAGGATGGTATTACAGCGTCAGCCGTCACTAATTATCAAGGCTTTCATTGGGCAGATTCATCAAGGCGAGTGGAGCTGGAGGGACGAGGGAGGGGTGTCTGGTGAGGGTTTTGTGGGGGGGGCTACCATTAGGCCTAAGTGCTGGAGGTGAGAGCGCGCCTGCCACACAAATGGGACGACTCCTATTCATGTCTAATTAGAACAAGCTGTGTGATTAATTATACAGCAGACATTTTCTTTAACTCGCACCGAGAGACGACAGATACAGAAATAACACGGAAACGAGTGTTGTAAATGTGACACATGATTATAGATACTGGTGAGTGTAGATACTGGTGAGTGTAGATACTGGTGAGTGTAGATACTGGTGAGTGTAGATACTGGTGAGTGTAGATACTGGTGAGTGTAGATACTGGTGAGTGTAGATACTGGTGTGTGTAGATACTGGTGAGTGTAGATACTGGTGAGTGTAGATACTGGTGAGTGTAGATACTGGTGAGTGCAGATACTGGTGAGTGCAGATACTGGTGAGTGCAGATACTGGTGAGTGTAGACACTGGTGAGTGTAGATACTGGTGAGTGTAGATACTGGTGAGTGTAGATACTGGTGAGTGTAGATACTGGTGAGTGTAGATACTGGTGAGTGCAGATACTGGTGAGTGTAGATACTGGTGAGTGCAGATACTGGTGAGTGCAGATACTGGTGAGTGTAGACACTGGTGAGTGTAGATACTGGTGAGTGTAGATACTGGTGAGTGTAGATACTGGTGAGTGTAGATACTGGTGAGTGTAGATACTGGTGAGTGCAGATACTGGTGAGTGCAGATACTGGTGAGTGCAGATACTGGTGAGTGCAGATACTGGTGAGTGTAGATACTGGTGAGTGCAGATACTGGTGAGTGCAGATACTGGTGAGTGTAGATACTGGTGAGTGCAGATACTGGTGAGTGTAGATACTGGTGAGTGTAGACACTGGTGAGTGCAGATACTGGTGAGTGTAGATACTGGTGAGTGTGGATACTGGTGAGTGTAGATTCTGCTAAGTATACTGGTACGTTTAGATACTGGTCACCATAGATACTGGTGGGTGTAGATACTGGTGGGTGTAGATACTGGTGAGTGCAGAAACTGGTGAGTGTAGATACTGGTGAGTGTAGACACCGGTGAGTGTAGATACTGGTGAGTGTAGACACTGGTGAGTGTAGACACACTGGTGAGTGTAGATACTGGTGAGTGTAGATTCTGCTAAGTATACTGGTACGTTTAGATACTGGTCACCATAGATACTGGTGGGTGTAGATACTGGTGAGTGTAGATACTGGTGAGTGTAGACACTGGTGAGTGCAGATACTGGTAAGTATACTGGTACGTTTCGATACTGGTCACTATAGATACTGGTGGGTGTAGAGACTGGTGTGTGTAGATACTGGTAAGTGTAGATACTGGTCCCTGTAGATACTGGTCCCTATAGATACTGGTGTGTGTAGATACTGATGAGTGTAGATACTGGTGAGTGTAGATACTTGTCACTATAGATACTGGTGAGTGTAGATACTGGTGAGTGTAGTGGTCTTGTTGGTGAAGATGGTGAGAAACTAAGGCTGAGGTAAGACCCAAAATCAGTCTGTCTTACTGTACAGTTACAAAAATATAGTAAATATGAGGAGTAGACTAAGGAGAGGAGAGGAGAGGGGAGAGTAGAGGAGATGGAAAAAAGAAAAGAGAGGAGCAGAGGAGGGAGCTGTCACATATATGATGTTATCGTAACACTGAGGAAATTAAAGGCCACGATTCAGATTCAATGATATTAACAATAAAACACTTAAACAAAGATCAGTTAAGATGCTTCAGTGTAAATCAGGACCTGGACCTATGGGCTGCACCCTCCCTCCCTGGGATCCTCTTCAGTCCTGGATCTACAGCCTCAGTCCTGGATCTACAGCCTCAGTCCTGCTTCTACAGCCTCAGTCCTGGTTCTACAGCCTCAGTCCTGGTTCTACAGCCTCAGTCCTGGTTCTACAGCCTCAGTCATCCCGCACCCTATGGACCAATGGCTTCTATGTGTTTGTTATTATTGCATTTCTTGTTTTGTGTATTTTCATGTATGTAAGTCACAAAGCATTTTTACAATGAACATTTCTCCATGTCCCCGCCTTAATACATAGTGTGCGATCAATACAGGTTTTTTTCGGCTTCGGCTTCATCTGCATCAAGGCTAACACTAAAGTGATGTCACACTTTAACACAGGAGCGCTAACATTTTACATAAATAAATTTAAAAACAACTTTCAGTTCAAAGAGAAACAGAACTATTCCACCGTGTAACATCACCACAGTGTGACCTCACCACAGTGTGACATCACCACAGTGTGACCTCACCATAATGTGACCTCACCATAATGTGACCTCACCACAGTGTGACCTCACCACAGTGTGACATCACCACAGTGTGACCTCACCACAGTGTGACCTCACCACAGTGTGACATCACCACAGTGTGACATCACCACAGTGTGACATCACCACAGTGTTCTGAGGATCACTGGACTTTACTCACAGAAGGAAATGGAAAAAGAGGCTCATCTCGTCCTGAGAGGATCTGAAGCACGACTCGAAACTGACTTTGTGAAGTGATAGGGGGTGAGGGGGGAGAGGGGGGAGGGGGTAAGCCGTCTCTGTGATATATCTCTATAGAGTGAGCAGACATGTAATACGGGAAGAGCTGGGGATTGGAAAAAGAAATCTCAGGCTCCAGCGTCAGGAGACAAAACAACAACAATAGCAGCCGCAGGATTCAATTACAGACAGAGAGAGCGCGAGATAGAGCTGCTGATCGTTCTGCTGCCTCCAGAGATACTACATACCAGTCAATATGGGCCTGACCCGACCCACCATCTAACCAAACACCCGACCCAGGACCTGACCCAGGATCTGAGCCAGGACCTGACTCAGGGCCTGACCCATGTAGAGGACTCTGTTCTAAAGGCCTGGTCCCCCCGGAGGAACCAGGAAGAATCAGGAGGAGCAGGAGGAACCAAGAAGAATCAGGAGGAACCAAAAAGAATCAGGAGGAGCAGGAGGAACCAGGAAGAATCAGGAGGAGCAGGAGGAACCAAGAAGAATCAGGAGGAGCAGGAGGAACCAAGAAGAATCAGGAGGAGCCGGAGGAACCAGGAAGAATCAGGAGGAGTAAGAGGAACCAGAAAAAATCAGGAGGTGCTGGAGGAACCTGGGTGAGCAGGTCGAAGTCTTTAATTTGAGGAGTAGATCTGATTGGAACAGACGAGATTGGACACAAGAGGTCCACATGTGGTCCTCCCAAGTGAAGCTCTCTAGTCACATGGGAGGAGCTTAGAATAGAGCCACTGTTCCTCCTGATGGAGGCTCGGGCATCTGTGATCCATCCCGAAGCCTGTAGGTAATTAACCTACAAAGTGGCCAGCACTCCCTTGAAAAAGAGGTTTTTAATCTCAATGGGATTTTACCTGGTTAAATAAAGGTTAAATTAAAAAAAAGAGAAATAAAAAAGTAAACTTCTGAGTGTACCGCTCACTCATGCAACACTTTGACATTTGTTTCATGTTTGATGTGGTTCCACCTGGTTCCAGATGGTTCCATATAGTTCCAGATGGTTCCTGCTCTTTATTATTGCTTTGGAAACGTCTATGTTTTTTTTTTTCAGTTCCACAAACGCATTCCTTGAGCAACACATCCCTCCTCAACCTCTTCATCTGCGGAACAAAAGATGCTCCAGGCGCCGCGGGAGGGGGCTGGCTCTGAGCCGAGTGCTGTCACCTGTTTATCAGCTCCGTGACGTCTCAAAGGTCATCAACACAACGAGCCGTGAGCCTCAAAATGGCGTTGAGCGGATCTTCATTTACAATTTTCAATTTGGGTCCAACAGCTCGTGTGATAACGTCAGCGCTATCGGAGAGAGCTGTCACCGACGAACGCCATGAGACGAGATCAGCCACAAACTGACACACGGCGGCGTCGGAGCCATCACGGAGGAGGTGGGGTCAGAGGTCAAAAGGGGGAAATGTGACAACGATGGAGCCACAGATACAAGAGCAGCAGAAAGGGAGTCAATATAAGAATTATCACTGACAAGAGGAGGAGAGCGGAGGCGAGAGGAGGGGAGGAGAGGAGTGGTGAGGGGAGGAGAGAGGAGGAGAGAGGAAGAGAGGGGATGAGAGACGAGCAGAGGGAGGAAGAGAGGAATGGAGAGGGGATGATAGAGGAGGAGAGGGGACGAGAGGAGGCGAGGGGATGAGAGAAAGAAGAGAAGAGGGAGGAGAGAGGAGTACAGAGGGGATGAGAGAGAGGAGGAGTGTGACAGGGAGGAGAGAGGAGGAGAGAGAGAGGAGAGGGGAAAATAGAGGAGGAGAGGGGAGGAGAGAGAGGAGAAGGGAGGAGAGAAGATGAGAGGAGAGGAGAAGAGAATGGAGGCGAGGGGATTAGAGCGACAGTAGAGTTAATGTTGTGTTATTTCTTGTGAAGGCACTTTGAGAAGACATTGGAGTCTTCAAATTATCTTCAAATAATCCTGAATTTTAACCCTTCCTCCTCCTCCTCCTCCTCCTCTTCCTCCTCCTCCTCCTCCTCCTCCTCCTGTAGTACTTGCAGCTTGTACTCCTGGGTTTCTATTTTGGAGAAAAGCGGCACGAAGCCAAGTCTCCCCGATGCAAACAGCCTCTCCCCTCCCTCACCCCCCGTCCCCATCACGGCCTATTCATCCTCTGGGAGCACCTGACACAAGAGACTCACACAAGCAGCACAAGAGCCGGGCCCTTGGCATCGGGCCCCGGGGCCTCGTGGAGCGGCACAACAGCTGTGTCTAATAAAGAGTCTCATCTCCAACAAAACGAGTCCAAATGGAGCACTCAGCAACAATTCAGGCGTGAGGCCGAGGCGCGAGACCAAGGCCCGGCAAGATTGAAGACCGGAGAGAGACGGCAGCTGAAAAAGACAATTTGTCCAGAGCACTGATTGGTGGATTCTGGAGAGTAAAGAAGTTCTGATTGGCTGAGAGGGCGCACCGCTGAGAAGGACTAGGCCTGGAGTCGAAACGGCTTCCGGAGCAAAAAAAAAAAACAAAAAAAATTGTCTGCAGGAAAATAGAGCTAAAAACGTTAACGAGATACAAGAGCGTCGAGATCGCAGATATCAGAGGAGACCAGGAGCCTCCAGGGGCCGCGTTGAACTCTGGAACTCCCACAGGAGTCAATTTGTTTGTCAATTTTGTTGTTTTTAGTGTTGGAAGCGTAGTTACAATTTTTTGTTTTTTGATGTGAGAAGTTCTAGCTTTAACCATTTTTCAAATCTAGAATTTTCAGTGGTTTTCTTTTCATGGCAATTAAATTGCTTTATCATGGTCCTGCACTGGTCCTGGACTGATTATGGACTGGTTCTGGAATGTTTTGTGAATGGTCCTGAACTGGTTCTGGAATGGTCCTGAACTGGTCCTGGACTGGTTTTGGACTGCAGGTCCTGGTTCTTTTACTCACTTCATTATTGAAAGTGAGTAAAAACACTATAACTTACTTCAGCCGTTTGTAAATCTTAAATCTGGGGGGAAATATCTCAGAATAAAAGTGTTTGAATCTTTGCAGGGTTAGGCTTTGTGGATTATGTATTTTTTTTTTATACAGCAAAAAAATATGACTTAATTTATGACCAAACCTGAGTTTGGAGATTATTTTTTGTTTGTTTTCTGAACAAATCTAGCTCAGTTTCTGTTTGGACTGAACCAAAACGGGTGTTAGTGTGTGTCTGTGTCTCAGTGCGTGTGTTTCCTTGTCAGAGGTTTGTGACTTCCTAAACTTCAGCTCGTTAGCACTTCCGCTTGTCACGCATCATGGTAACCAGAGCACCAATCAGGCGGCTGCTCTCGGATCATGAGGTCACTGGGCTGTTGCATTGGGGCTGGTCTCCGTGGTAACGCCCTGGAGACGTGGGAGTTTGGGAGAGTTGTTTGGCCTTACCCATCAGCCTCTGCGTCAGCATTTGACCTTTATGCTCAGTCACAGAGACCACCCAGGACAAACACACAGGACTCCCACAGCAGTCTTTATGACTGCTCCTTTCAAACTAATGGAGTTCTGAGAAATTCACCCAAAAAACGTTTGGTTTTCCTCCCAATTTATTTAAAGCAATTAATATTTGTTTTTATCTTAACTCACTTTCACTGAATTTTACGGCAGCAGAGACAGTTCGATGAAAGGCTAATGCTACTTCTACACTGTAAGCAGTGTGTTGCTATGGTAACTAGCACTGGCTCTGCTCTAGTGGAAAACCAAACTGAACCAGGACCAGTCCGGACCAGTCCAGACCAATCCAGCGACCAACATTTTCCAAAGTTGAATTTTACAATCAGTTGAATGAAGCAGTCAAAATGACTGCTCTGGGAGTTAAAGGTAGAATTCACACATTTCCAAAATAAGAAATTATTTCATATAAATAATAACTACACATACAGGTTACTATACGTAAGAGCCCTGTGAGTCACTTTTTGACTTTTTGTGCTGATTGGCTGAGAGAGGGCTAGGACTCAATTCAGTTTGTGGGAAAAAGAAGTGTAACAGATCAAGAGGAACCAACAATCTCTACCCCAGTGGTTCCCAAAGTGGGGGTCCCGACCCCCCGGGGGGTCGCAAGATGATTTCCACACAAAAAAAATAAATAAATTTTTGCTCAAAAAAAATACGATTTTTTTTTTTTTTAGCAAATATAAAGCCCTTAAATATTTATTTAGCATTTATATATATTATTATATATATTTTATAATATATTTATAAAATATATTTTAATAACGTTAGTAATTTTGTCCCAGTCATTGCAGCGTCAATCAAAATCATCACGTAACACAGCTCACATCATGCGTAGCGACAAAGCGTATCCTGCTGTTGTTTGCTAAAACTAAAGGTGTTTGGAGGCTACAAATAAATAATACCTGCTTTAAAATGAAACGTGGTTAATATCCACAACAGAAAAACCCGGAGGGGGAGAAAAGTCACTTGTATCAGGGGTCAGGCTGATGGTGCGAAGAGAGGGAGAGAGGGCAGAGGAGGGAGAGAGGGCAGCGGAGGAAGGGAGGACAGCGGTAGAACAGCGCGTTAAAGAGGCCCGGCTTTTCGGAGTCAAAGGTAAAGAGGTCCGCACATTAAAAGCGGGTGGCCGGTTTATGCCTTTACTGACAGTAACTTTGGAAAGAGAAGCCGCGGGGATGAACCGCATAAAGTAACAGCAGAAAGCGGCCGCCCGCTTTTAATGTGCGGACCTCTTTACCGCTGACTCCGGAAAGCCGGCCCACTTTACCGCGGTAGGAGAACAGTGAGGGCGAGCCGCAAGAAATGCGCTCCACTTCTGCTGAGGAGGGAGCCCACCAAGCCCATCACTGTGTCACTACATGAGTAAAAATATGCAAGCCTCCTTTTTTGGGCTGGACAGTGCAGCTCGGTAGTGGCGTGAGTCTCTAGAAAGCGTTACTCCGTTTCAAGGAAATACATGCTCATTTCATGTGACGAAAGGGCTGTTGGGGGGGGGGCAGGGCATTTATCATGGGGGTCGCGGGCTAAAAACTTTGGGAACCCCTGCTCTACCCTACCCAACCCTACCCTACCCTACCCTACCCTACAACAGAGAAGTTGGTGGAACATGTGTCACTGTGAAGAAAAAAATAAAGGGTCCTCAGTTTAAATCAAACTTTTTATGTGTTCTCTACGTTTGCCTATTTGACCGTGACTGTGTGAGAGGTCACGTTCTGCCCCATTTGAGAAGAGATGAGAAAACATGTATAAATGTCGCCTTTAAAACCAGCTTTGGATCGGCCTTGGAGATCACAAAGGCTACAAGAGCGAGAGCCAAAAATGCTGGATCAAAGATTGGACTCGGGATCAAACTACCAACCTCCGCAACACAGAGACGCTTTTCTCAATGACAACAACCCGTTTTCTGAAAACGAAGTTGAAGCCGACGTAAATAAGTTAAATTTGATGCCATGTAAAAGTTGTGAAAAGCCGTTTGTTGAGATTAATGTGCTATGATGACGGCGAGTGGACGGACCCTGACCCTGTGCGCGATCACAGGGACGATTCTCAGAAGATAAAGAGCAGAGAGGATCTTCAAATGCCATAAACGTAAAGGGTAATTGGAGCACTCTGCTGCAAGGTTATGAAGGACGAAGGGGGACATTCTGAAATCAATACACAAGAGAACGTGTTGCTATGAACGACTTTACAAACTCACAAACACGGATCCAGCTTCTTTCAGGTCCGTAAACACGTGAAGAGGAGGCAGAGGTCGCCGTGGAGACGGGAGATAATACGCCACGACTGTAGGAATGCATACGTCGATAAAGCCAGGTAAATTCAACACAAACCCAAACTAAACTGCTGAACTTTGACGTCAGCCGCGGAACCAAACTTCAGGCTGATTAGGCAAGTTTATTTGCATAGCACAGGTCATGCACAAAACACAGTGCTGAGAAAAACTACTATCACACAAGCCATTAAAATCATTAATAATCATTAATAAGAGTGAAGATACAACCCTTCAGTTGTTGCAGAACTGTTTTTAACCTGGATTTGAACACACAATCCTGTGTCAATCTGAAACGCTGCCTCCAAATGTGTAGCCCTTCGTGGAGGCCAGTCCCTGTGCTCAGAGGCGTCCCCTGCCATTAGGCAAGGCAGGCAGCTGCCTGGGGCCCCCAAACTGGCAGGGGGCCCCCGAGGGCCGATTGATTTGACACAATCGGTGGACTTGCACAGGCTACAACAGCTACCCAGTGACGAGTTGGCGGATAAAAACTTCTCGTCTAATGCAAAACTTGCCACGTTCTTCATTAACAGTTAAAAACCCTGCCTGGAGATAAAGAAGTGTAGTATGACATAGTGGTCTAGTGGAGAAGTTACAACCCGGATTCTAATCTGATTGACACCTATGTTTTGGATTAAACTATATACTATATTTTATATTCTATGACAGATTGCTCAAGAACGGTAAAAGCTAAGAACAAGCCGTTTTTGCATATTAAAGCTAAGAGCCTAATCTTTCATTTGGCCCTTTGTGTTTATATAGACTATTTAAACACCGAGGGCCAAATGAAAGATTAGATTTTGTAGGATTACAAAATCTGGTTATGTGGTTGGTATCGGGGCCCCCAAGGACTCTATTGCCTGTGACCCCAGGGTACCCTTGGAACGCCACTGCCTGTGCTCCTCAGAGTCCCAGCAGGGGGCCAGTCCCTGTGCTGACCCTTTTAACTAGTGTGACCCCATCTTACTGATAAGCCTTAGAACACACACTGGCGTGACATCACAACTAAGTAAACATGGATGTGGAATCTCCTCCTGCTCTTGTGTGTGGTGCCGCTACATGAGGAGGCCTCCTTGGATTTCAATGTCCCTAACATTGACATTGCTGTATTGTTTTCAGAAACCAGAACTACCAAATCAACATCTCTACTGCAAAAGTAAGAAAAACAAGATGACAGTCAAACATAAAAGTTTGAACCAGAAACATTGTCATTCTCCATAAGTCATCATCTGTCACAGAGAGAGAGCCGACATCCTGAACCCAACAACAATCGAGCCTTCATGCCTCTCGCTAATTATCATTCTGAGGATGCAGCCATTAGCGCGCTCCAGTGCCTCCCAGTGTGCCAGGCCGGACTGGGCCAGGAGCCAGCCACAACAGAGGGCCCATTCATCCAGGAGAGCCGGGAAACTCCGCCAGCATCACCACTCACCGTCCGAGGCCCCTGTCGGCAAGGAGACAGACCTGGCAACCACCGGAGAGGAGCAGGCCCTAAAGGAGACAGACCTGGCAACCACCAGAGAGGAGCGGGCCCTGATGGGGAAAGGCCTGAACCCGCGGCTTTAGGTCCTGGTCAGAACAGGTACACGACTCGACATGTGTCATGTAACTTTAATAATGTCAGAATGTGCAATACAGAACCACATGTGTCCCAGACCCTCATGCTGCTAAAGTGCACAGATGTATACATATAACTATTTAATTTTCTTACACTAGAAAATACATTTTATACTTGCTTCTTTATTATTATGCTAAAGTTGGAGCTTTTGATTGTGATGCATTCATTCTAAGATGGTGGCGCTGCAGCCCGGTGCGTTGGTTGCAATGTGACTGGCCTATCTTGAGTTTCTCCTCTTGGTTCATCTACAGTATATTGTTTGGCATCGCCCTGCATCAAGCCTCATATCGTGCAGAAAGCTTTCATTCATGCAACAACCCTCCTCCTCCCCATCACCGCCTCGTTCTGGACCAGCTCTGTTACCCCTCTCCTCGCTCCCACCATCAGGGTGCAGGCATCATCACAGTGTTCTGACGGATTCTGAGCTAAATCTTAACCACATTTCTGTTCAGCAGCAATAAATGTAATCTCACTCAACTTTAAAGTAGTGTTAGACTTTTGCGCAAAACACAACTATTCAGACCCTATATTTCACTGTCCATTTTTCACAGTTTTTTGTTTCTTTATAACTTTTGTAAGGCCTCCAGAAATGCACCATATAAATAAAATGTATTATTAGTATTACCATAAATGCAACTAATATATTAAATTCTAATTTGACTCTTGAAGGTTGACTCTCTCTCTGGTCTTTTGGCTATCTCTCTCTCTCTCTCGTATCTTTCTGCTCTCTCTTTCTGCTCTCCCTCTGAGTCATAAGTTCATCATATACCCCACATTCCCTCTAAACTTCCAAACTCATTTCTAACTTGTTATTGGTTCATAATGTTGACTTTTTGCTGCAGGGACCGTTCTCCTTTGACTCTGCGGCTGCTGACCAGTCACCAGCTTCTTAATAACCCCCACGTCTTTATACCACGCTGCATCTCATTTGCTTCTGCTCAAAAGCGAAACACAAATGTCGCTGCAGTCTGTAGCTGGTGCGAGATAACAGCAAACTGCACACGCTCTCATTCCACAAACTGCTGACTTCCATTTTGATTGTGTTAAATAATCATCATAATAAAGACCGACCGAACGAACGGCAAACATGTGCTTTCCCGTCGGCGTCTCTTCGGTCCGTTTCTCGCGCCCTCTTCTTCGCACCTTTGTAACTGGGACAAATATTTTCCTAATGACGACCGTGGGGGAGAAGGCGAAGGGGCCTAGTCTCTCTCTGGTCCCTCTGGTCTCTCTCTAGTCTTTAGCTCTATAGCCTCTATCTCTATAGTCTCTCTCTGGTCTCTATCTCTATAGTCTCTCTCTGGTTTCTCTCTAGTCTCTCGCTGGTCTTTCTCTAGTCTCTCGCTGGTCTCTCTAGTCTATCCCTGATCTCTCTCTAGTCTCTCACTGGTCTTTCTCTGGTCTCTCTCTCTCTGGTCTCTCTCTAGTCTCCAGTTCTATAATCTTTCTCTGGTCTCTTTCTCTATAGTTTCTCTCTGGTCTCTCTATCTCTGACCCAACAATCGACCAAAACCAAACACGTTCTTTCCCTTTGGCGTCCCTTCAATCCATCTCTCTTCTCTTCAGTCAATTTCTCGCTTTCTTCCTTTGCACCTTTGTAACTGGAACCAATATTTTCCTAACGACGCGGCGGTGAAAGCGGCGGCGGAGACGGTGGAGTGCAGAGAGGCCTGGAGCTACTTGTTATTCATGAGATGTTTTTGGATAGAGAGCCCTGCGAGCGCTTGTCAAACGCTACACGAGCTGGAGCCGTGTATCGGTCTATTCTTCGCTGTTGCCTTCAGTGGTGGAGTGGAGTCTGGCAGCAGGACATGTTCTCTGCTTCAGGGACTTTCTAAAGCGCCTGTGTCACATGTGAGAGACTGGAGCACATTGTTCCTGATCAAGGGACGGGAAGAGGCCTTTCGGCAAAACAGGCAGAGCACTCACAGCGACAGCGAGTATAAATAGTGTGTGACAGAAGATGGAATGCAGGATCAGAAGGATTTACAGGACAAGATGTCGTGTGCGTTATTGTGACTGTTTACTTTTCATGATGGAGATTGTGGAATATTTAATCAAATTGTACAAGATAATGATTTACATCGGACAAACAGATAAAGGAAGAGGGAGAAGAGTAAAGAGGCTTGTACTGCTTAATGACCTGCTCCTCTTCATCAAGCAGAACTAGCTTCTTTTTAACCCTTTAATGGTTTCCTCAAACATTTGGTGGATCACCTTTCGAGTCACTAAATCGATTCAAAGCTTGGAACTGAAATCTACCTCTTTGGGGCATCTCACTTAGTTTGAGGCCCTTTTACCATCAAACTGCAGCTCAACCATTTGGTAAAGGCCGATGATTAAAAATAAAAAACAAGGGTTTCAAAAGAACAAATACAAAAAAATAAAAATAACGCATTGTTTGTACTTCTAGTGTCCTTCATTTTAGAAAATCCAAACAAGAAAAAAATACTTTGCTTTCTTTAAGTAGTGAACATTAAAGGGTTAAATTCTTTGTCTGATTACAAGAACCTTCCAAGCTTTAATCATTCAATACAATGTATTCTGTTTAGCCCTAAATAATAACAGTTGTTATTGCAGAAGACTTTACACAGCTGTCGCTTCGCCAACACAGATCAGAGAATGAAACGGTTCAAACCCAAGAAATGCAATAATTAAAAACACATAGAGGCCGATCAACGTCATTGAATGTGGAGTGTCCAGTGTCATCACTGTTGTCCTTAGACCCTCCTGAATCTGCAAGAAACAACTTTAAAACCCCAGTGGGAGAAAAGTGTAAAACCTCAGGGAGGTCCACTTTGAGGGAGAGATCCACTCCTATGGACATACAGAAAGAAAACATTGGAAGAAGACATAAAGAACTTTTCCCATTTATATAAGGAATCATCTAGTTTAGTGAAACCTCTCCATCTAGTGGTAGAAACTGACATGCTGATTTATTAAAGGTACACTGAGGAAACATTTGAATGGAGTTATTATCAAAACTAATGAAAGACTTCTGTTTCAACGGTCTGAAACCAGCTCTGTCCCAACAGAATAAGGAGCATGGGATACACCGGGAATTATGTAAGAACCATGAAAGAGAAACCCCGATACAGCCACATCAGGCTCAGGTTTGTATGAGACACGAGTGTGTCTCATATTTTGGATCAGACTTTTGTATCTCTGCATCCCAAACCTTACTGCTCCTGATGTCTGACTTTTTACCGAGGTCAACCTTTAACAGCTGTAGGAGATAAACTTCATTGATCTCACGGACAAGAAATGTACACGTCACATTTGGCATAAATAGAATCACTGCAGTAGCACTGCACTGAGGGTGTCTCAGTTTTCCACTGGAGGAGCTCCTCTACAGTCTGCTCTACAGTCTCCTGTGCAGTGGGTAGTATGATGGAGGACGCTAACACCCTCCTGTCCCTCACCTCCTCCACAGAGTCCAGGGGCCTCCTGTCCCTCACCTCCTCCACAGAGTCCAGGGGCCTCCTGTCCCTCACCTCCTCCACAGAGTCCAGGGGCCTCTTGTCCCTCACTAGTCCAGTTTATCGTTAAGTCGAACACCCAGAAGCCAAACAGTAGGATAAAGTATGACCTGAAACACAACTGTTTAAACCTCAGCTGCTGAAGACGTTCTTTGTGGAGAATTCCTCAAATGTTTAATCTTTTGTGATTTTAGAAACTTCACACGTCTCTGTTTCAAAGTTTGTTAGCGATCAACTCAAAAAGCAGTTTGGGGCCAGCATCTGTGGATTTCTCTAAGCCGTCCTTCCACTGATGTGAAATCTCTCAAACACAAACTGAAGAAGGCGCTGCTTCAGACTCCGCCCACTTTCTCCATCAACAAGTCAATGGAATCTGTGGCTCGCTAGCTCCTGCGCGGCTGAGGTGAGCGGGAATTATTATAAGCCTCTTAGCCACCGGGCGGGAGGCAGGGGGGAGGGGGGCGGGGGTGGTCTGGTAAAGGGGAATCAATGGCAAGGTAATCATGCCGCACTCGTCGACGTTTGGGTTCAATGGGAGTTTTCCAGAGGCTTTGGTCTCAGAGAGAGAGCTGTAATGAAGGAGGAGATAAACACACACCGTAATCAAGTGTTTGACGAAGCAAAGAGAAGGAGATCTATACCAGCGGGACCCAGCAGGACCCAGCAGGACTCAACCAGGACCCAGCAGGACCAGTGAATACAGAGCCACACAGACTGGTGTATCTTCATTGAAGTCCAACTGAAGCTGGATAAAGGCCCTCTAAATCTGGGTGTGCCCAAAAAAAACAAAAAGAGCTGGTCGAGGGCCAAAAGAATTAAAATATTTTTGGGGGACTTTGAAACACTGAGTAAGATTAATTTATTAATAATAACAACACACAAGTATTCAGTATTTTTAAGGCATTAGGACAGATTTCGCACCATGGACACATATCACCTCAAGACTAAATATAGAGCAGCTAGACCCAAACCACACTCAGCAGGTGACTGCTTTAAGGCTGGCTCGCTGGACACGACTGTTGACCACTGTGATGGTTATGTCCCAGCGCTTTCCCTGCAATGGCCCAGATACAATTTCATCCATCCATCCATTTTCTTCCGCACACACACTTCCTCCAGCTCGTCCAGGGGGACCCCAAGGCGTTCCCAGGCCAGCTGAGAGACATAGTACCTCCAGCGTGTCCTGGATCTTCTTCAAGGTCTCCTCCCGGTGGGACGTGCCCGGAACATCGCCCCAGAGAGGCGTCCAGGAGACATCCGGAACAGATGCCCGAGCCACCTAAACTGGTTCCTCTCAACGTGGAGAAGCAGCGGCTCTACTCCGAGCTCCTCCCGTGTGACTGAGCTCCTCTATCTCTAAGGGAGCGCCCAGCCACTCTGCGGAGGAAGCTCATTTCAACAGCTTGTGTCCGCGATCTCGTTCTTTCGGTTATTACCCAAATAACCATAGGTGAGGGAGGGAATAAAGT